CATGGCTGCGCTGAGGTTAGCACTCCTGCAGTAGGCGCAAAGCTAGTGGTACGAAAATGTGCCCGCGCGTTTTTTCTGCATCGGGCGCAGTGTGCGCCCGATGCAGCAGATAACTTTATCATACCACCGCGCTTCCCACCTGTCCCCGACTCTCCCAAAATTTTACTTATTTAGTGATTCTTGATAACGCCCAGCAAGTTTCTGTTTGAAATCGTGTTCATTTTCACTAACTAGAAAGTTAATTACCAAAATGTATTTAATTAGACAACCTGCGGTGGCGATTAGCCAATTATATTACGTCCCCCTGACCGTGTAACTTCTCTGCACAGAGAAAATTAGCGTAGTTTTCACGGCTTTGTAAAAAAAAAAAAAAAAAAAGATCAGAACAGTTTAAACCAATTAAGCCCCCTGTATACAGGGTGTTTCTTTTTAAGCTTAAGAGGAAGCTGAAACTGTCCTTTTTTTAATTGGTTAATGCTTCTTTATAGTATGGCGTAGTTTTTCCGGAGAATCTAAATAACACCATCATTTGTTCTCAAAACATCAAACGTGAAAGAAATGAAAAAAACTATGCAGCCGCTCGCCGCCACTGAACGTCAGTGGTTAATCGAACCGTGATGTCCTAAAATGAGCAGTTGCGATTCTGATTGCATTTGTCACTCTAGGGAGCCTTCATGTGCGCTTTGCTAGGATGATGCCACCCTTTGTAATACCACTCGCCGACAAACCAGCAGCCATTTTGGTCCTCGGCGATAATCCGTGGGCTTATAACCCTCCCGGAAACAAGCACCTTATCTCACAAGTTCGGAGCAGTGTTGTGGAACCCACGGAGGGAGGATTAGCATTTCCCCCCTCGGATGAGAGGACCGATGGACACAAAGGCCACTTTCCGGCGCTTCGGGAAACAATGAGGAACAAAATGGCGGTGGACGAGGGTGTGGGAAAGGGAAATAGGCAGTTGGCATCACCCTATGCGAAGCGCACCTGAAGGCACCCTATGTCACTCAACTATCAACTGGAAATCCTTTCCCGTTTCGTCTCCATTTCGCGTAAGCTCCTCGGATATGCTAAGGTGCCTGCATATTCTGCATACCTCGGCAAACCTCACTCATGAGGGCCCTCACTCACCCTCACTCACCCTCATCCTCACAGGTGAGGTGAGGGTGAGTGAGATTCTGAACCAGGAAAATTCATGAGTGTGAGGGTGAGTGAGGGCCGTCAGGGCTGTGAGGGCGGTGAGGGCCGTGAGGGCGGTGAGGGCAGTGAGGGTGGTGAGGGCGGTGAGGGCCGTGAGGGCCGTGAGGGCGGTGAGGGCCGTGAGGGCGGTGAGGGCGGTGAGTGGCGTGAGGGCTATGAGTGCGTGAGGGCCGTGAGGGCGGTGAGGGTGGTGAGGGCGGTGAGGGCGGTGAGGGCGGTGAGCGCCGTGAGGGCGGTGAGGGCAATGAGGGCCATGAGGGCGGTGAGTGCGTGAGGCCCCCTTCAGATCGAGCATCTTTCTCAGCAATTTTGGTGTTAATGGCGGGTTGTTCTCCAGCTTTCCCTAGATCGACACGAATTGCTGAGACCGGGACCGGCTCGAAATAAGCAAGCAACTCGGAGCAATTCGAATACGTTTGAAGCGGCTGCATCCAATCAGGGACGCAAAATTTTCACGTGATACCTCGTGCCGGTGATTATGACACCGAAAGACTTGGTTCTGGTTTTAAATCAATCGTTTTTTGGAAATAAACTGTTTCAGAAAGGTGCATTAGTATTCTTAACGAGGTTTAAATGCATAAAAACACGTTTATAACTCGTAATTGTGGCTAAATAGTGCAAGAAAAATAAAATTTTATGATGACGGTGGCAAATTGCAGCAATTGGTTGCTGCGTGCGATCGCGGGCGGCCCGTGTTGCTGGTGTTGCGACGTAAAGTTTCTGGGCGAAATCGCCCCATCTGAAGCTGGCCTGAGGGGCGTGAGGGTCATGAGTGCGTGAGGGGCGTGAGGGGTACGTGTGAGGGCCGCAAAGGCTGTGAGTGGCGTGAGGGCGGTGAGTGGCATGAGGGCGGTGAGGGCGGTGAGTGGCGTGAGGGCTATGAGTGCGTGAGGGCCGTGAGGGCCGTGAGGGCGGTGAGGGCTGTGAGGGCCGTGAGTGGCGTGAGGGCGGTGAGTGGCGTGAGGGCCGTGAGGGCGGTGAGGGCGGTGAGGGGCGTGAGGGGCGTGAGGGCCGTGAGGGCGGTGAGTGCGTGAGGGCCGTGAGGTTCAGTGAGGGTGAGTGAAGGGCTGAAGGTGAGTGTGAGTGTGAGGGTGAGGGTGAGTGAGGGGCCGAGGGTGAGTGTAGCTGTGAGAGTGAGGGTGAGTGAGGGGCTTAGGTGAGTGTGGCTGTGAGGGTGAGGGTGAGTGAGGGCGACCTAAAATGCCGACCTCTGATATTCTGTAGAAAGATGTTCGGAACTGCTGGACTATCAACCATTTACTGAAGACAAACCTCTTCTTCTTCCACACCCATTCGCTCCGAGATATAGAACTAATGGGTGTTGAAACAGATCTTCAGTAAAGGGTTGCCCAGCTGTGTCTCTGTCCGATGTTCTCTTCCTCTCACTTTGTGTATCTCTTTGCGTTCAGCTGGCATCTTTTAGAAGCATGAATCACCAACTGGCTCAGTATCGACGATTCACGACGCTGGCTCAGCGAGTCGAAAAGCACGCGCGAGGAACCTTTCGTGACGTCATGTTTCTCTTCTCCTATTACTGCCCTCTCCCGCTGCCGCGGAGGGGCATGATTTCAATGCAACTTCAAAGGCGTCTTTCTAGGTGATGCGGGCAAGAAATAGCCCACGTTTTTTTTTTTTTTTTTTATATTCGTGATGCTTTGAGTCCGATTAAAACAAATCAAGTATTTTAAATCAAATTCCAAACCCCTTCAGCTTCCCTTTCACAAATTAGCTTAAAAAAGAAAAAAAAAAAAAAAGAAACGTCAATGCTACAATAATGCGCTTTGAACAGGTGAGTTATACGGCCGGGGGGACATGGTAAAGGGGGATAATCGTAACGATCAGTCGGCTAATTAATCTTTTTTCAAGCGTTACGGGCTTAAAAAATTTGCGAAAGGTATACACTTGTGCGGTTTGTGCAGGTGAGTTATACGGACAGCGGGACATAAAATAGGGGCTAGTCGTAATGATCAGTTGCCTAATTAAGTAAAGTTTGTTAATTACTTTTTAATTAATGAACATAGACATATGGTTTCAATTAGAAACTTGCTGAGCGTCATCGAAAACCACTAAGTCAGCCATTTTCAGAAAGACTTTGAGCATGTGAGAAGCGTATAGTAGTGCACTAAAGTTACCACTCGTGGAGCAGGAGCAAGGCTTCCGGTGCGATGACGTGCCCGCACGGTTTTTCCGTCTCTTATCATAGACCCAGTCCTTGTGCTTGTTGCACGAGTGGTATATTTAGCGCAACTACTGCGGTTCCCACGCGGTCAAATTCTTTCTAAAAATTACTTATTCAGTGGTTGTCGAAGACGCTTAGCATGTTTCTAACTGAAACATAATGTCCATTTTCGCTACCTTTAAAGTTAATTCACAAATTTTAGTTAATTTTTTTCGACTTTTTGTGACGACTGGCCCCCTATACAATGTCCCCCTGGCCGTAAAACTAACCGGCACAAAACGCATGAATGTAGCTTTCACGACCTTTTTTTCTTCTTCTTTTTTTTTTTTACTTATCTGTTAAGCTCAGAAAAGAAACACCGTGGGTGGCACAAGCGGACCTTCCGATGTAAAACGAGCCGGAAAAATTGGCGCCTGCACATAGCAAGCTGAAACTTTCATCAAACGTGCACTGAGCGGGTGAATTTTGAGGCGCTGAGGTTACCGTGTGAAATTTCAAGGCGTAGTTCTCTTTCTGTAAAAATGGAGAGCAATAAACTTGCGAAAGTCAACGTCGGGCGCGTGCACGGATGGCCACGTCACCGTTTATTTGTGGCGCCATCTCCCGATATGCGCAGCGGGTAGACGACGCACTCTCTTGCCTGCTTGTTAGGCCTATCGGGAGATAGCGCCACAAGCAGGTAGCGTCGCTAACTCGGTCGTCTGCGAACGCGCCTAACGTTGACATTGGCAAGTTTGTTGCTTCCAATTTTTACTTTTTTTACACGAAGAAAACTGGGCCTTTCAATTTCACACGATGAAACTGGTCCGCTCAGTGCACATTAGGTGAAAGCTTTAGCATTTTATCTGCAGGCGAAGATTTTCGCGGCCGGTTTCACAGCGGAAGGTCGGCTAACTTCAACAGTACTTCTTTTAAGGGGGTGAGAGTTAGACGAGTGCCGTCTTCGCCATGTATATTTATTAGGCTCGGAGAAGCCTGGCAAAGCTCACGCTGGTGATATTACCACACGCTTGGCCGAGCGAGCGCGTGTGTGACCGCCTGGTTACCGCGCTAGACTGGCGCGGAAGCTCTAGATTCGATTTCAACTAGCGGAATGTCCTTTTATTTATTCTTTCATTTCGGCGTTCTCGTAAGTTCGAGAACCTTCTTGTCTGATGGAGTTCATAATGTTCTACGCCGAATGTTCCAGAAACGCACGAAGGTACATAAGGGACTCTACATCACGACCAGCCTGTCTCGCTTATTCAGCGCTCGATCTTGCTGTTTCGCCGACATCGACGCCTGGGACGCTAACCTATTTCTATCTTGTTTTGGGCACACGTTCGTCCCAATAAACGTTCAGTTTCTTCAGTTATTCTTCGCCCCATCACTTGTCATTCACACCGCCTAGTGATAGTTATATCACTAGGCGGTGTGATATAACTATATATATGAGATAGAGGGGCGGGAGGAATCACTCTCGTCTTTTTCAGAATTAGGCTAAGTGGCGCAAGCTAAAGCCCGTTACAAAGGGTAGAGCCATTAACATCCATCCAATGCTATAAGCTAATTCTCCAAACAACTTTCCGACTTTCCCTGCATTTATGTTATTGTTCCTTCAGTGTTAACAGATGCACAGCGCTGATGGCGGATAAAAAATTAGATTTATTATGAAATGCTGGAACCATATACTGTCAACACCAACGCTACATACATCAAAGGCACTGCTATGACACAGCAAAGCTACACTGAAAGGCCAAAGTTCTTGCTCAGAATCAAGAGTGCCACAATTGTGAACGATTTCAATGACTAGACATCTGAGCAATACTTGAGTAACATCATTTTTTGAGGTCTCAAATGTGGCCTGCGTTTTACGTAAAGAAGACCCATTCTAGACAAATGGAACAGCTTATGCCTAGTAGCTCTGTACTTTGCAGCAACAGGAGACATCAAATGGTTGCTTTATAGTATAGAAAACACAAGAACATTTTGCGTCCCCAACACTTTCGGAAGACAGAGGCCCAGTTCGATCATTCCTCGATAGGAAAGTCGAGGAAACAAAGGGTACCGTCAGGAAGGGAGGGGAGAAGGACCTTTGTACGAACTTGGGGCGAAAGATAATTCACAGTGGGAACGAAAGCAATGTTTTGGGAACTCACTCTAAGTCACTGCATGTTGCTCAATGGAGACAAAAGGATTCAGTGAGTTGCTCCAAGGAACGTTTGCACTCACTCGTGCCACGCCCACGGAACTTCATGCCAAAATGCTCTCACACCGGGAATTCGGAAAACGTTTTGTAGCACAGGCGTGCTAAAATGCTAGGTCCCATAAGAACTGTCCCAGCAAAATATGTTGCATACTTGATATTTGATCGAACCGTCATATGACGGACCATCATTATTCATAAACTTTACTTTTCAATAAAACCTAGAGTGAATAGCCACAGGCGCAATAAGTTCTGGTTTTAAACTATCAATGTAACCTTCGCAAACAGTCGTAGAACTTGGTAGTGGTGGTAGTAAAAATGGTTCAGGGAGCTATAGAAACAGTAGCAGTACTTAGTAGCAGCAGCGGAAATTGTTGCGTACAACCGTAGCATGAGCTGACCGCTCCCCCGTTCAACGATTTCTAAACGAAGACGATTTGCCAGTACACACCCAGCCACTGGAGCATCTAACAAAAACATCAAGGAAAGTATAATGACATTGATCCATTGTAAACTCTTCTCTCTGCCTTTTTCAACTTGTACTCGAATAAGCTAAAGTTTTCTTCTTTTTTTTTCATATATCGATGTGCTGACATTAGCAATTTAATCGATTAAAGGAAAAGCTGCAGCAGCTCAGTGAGTCTCTTTACAACATGTCTGCCAAATTGTTAAAGTGCAATGCATTCTTGGAAGTTGGGTGTCATATTTTCATATAGCCACAGCCACATCAAGATCCATACCACAAGAAATAGTCGGTGTTTCTGCCAGGGCAGCCAGAAAAGCTAATATATAAAGGTGCGGGTACAAAAGTGTTCAGTAAAAGGCAGAAAGTGCAGACGAGTTGATATAAATGTGACATGACAAAAACTTGGCGACTGAAGAATTATGCAGGGAGAAACACATGAGGATGAGATCTTGAGATCCTGTCCAGTCTGTGAGCCCCTTGTCCATTATTCACTCTCAAGTATGAATCTCCGATAGATGGCCTTGACTCCCATAGAACGGTTTATGAGCCACAAATAAAATTCTGAAAGTGCTGGTTGCCAAGCTTCACGAACCAAAGTAAAAGCGGCACGGTCCGCCTTAGTGCCTTCGTCCCATTTCAAGCTGGGACTTATACAGAACAAGACAGGGTGTGATCTTTCCATTGTAAGCAAGGGCATTCAGCAAAACCAAAAGAATGGCATAGGTTACCACTTGCACTGTACATTTTGATTTACCAAAGGTAAAAGCCAGGAAGGCCATACAGCAACACATTAAATTAGCTTAAATAAAGACCGCACCCTGTGGGCACTCGCACAATTACAAATGATCAGCAGCCATAACTGGATGTATGAACAAAATGATGCTACAACTGGGTCTTTGCCACAACAATCATGAAAATAAAGAAAAGATGAGAAAGACAACTGATATCACCAGCACGTTTTCTGACACTTCAAGACAGTTCCCAGTCACACAAGAGTGTACTGTCAACACTGATGCAAAGTTTGAAACAGTGGTGTAATGACGGAAGGCATTGAACATGTGGGCCTTGCATCGCAATCCAGCCCTCAAGCATGGAGGTGAGAACTGTTTGACCTTGACCGTAAAGACCCAGCACACATTTCGTCGCATTTGGCACAAATCACAGAGGACCCACCAGCCATCAATTGTGAAGCGTAAGGGACAAGATATCTTTACATATGATTTACTTATCGACAGAAAAACGACGACACCCAGATCCCAAGAGAAAATTGGCACATATCCAACCCAAATGGCAAACCCCAAACTTCCTTCATCTTTGGCAACACTTCCACACATTCAGATCTCACACTCCGTTTAACTCTAAGTTAGACTGTGGTGGGAACTACGTGCCGGCCGGACCAGTCAGCCGCCTCCCCTTTATCACCTGACCTGGCTCTCTGCACGTGAGTATGGACAGGAGCATGATGACGTGGCGAAAGAGAGGCGTATGACTGGTCCAACGCGGATGTAGCTTCCACTCATTTTCAACTTAGGGGTGAGCGGAGTATACCATCAGATTCCGAGCAAACGAGAGAAGAAAAAAAACTGCCAACAGCAGAACAGCAATGTCCATCAGCAGATGTCATTAATCACCTAGTAGTGCCCCTGGGCATGATTCACAACACACCGTCCCTTTGACGCCTGATGATCATTTCCAGTATCATTCAAGGAGGGCCACGCCCTAGGAAGTAATCCGACAACCGTTAAACAGTCCGACGAAATAAAGCGAGCGGGTAATCATCTACGGCGGTGGCGGCGTGTGGGTACGAAGGTGCCGCGCAAGGTGTCCTTTCCTGATGAAGTCCTTGGGGCAGAGGTGGCACTGAAACAACTCCATATTGGTGTGGTGTGTCAGCCGGTGCCTCATCAGCAGCGACGGCTGATCAAACGTCTCGGTACACCGTTCGCAGCGGTACGGCTCTTCCTTGACAGCTGCTGCCTTCCAGTCTGCTGGCGGACCCTCTGAGCTGGCCCGCGGGTACGGCGGACACTTGACTGGATGGCACTTCTGCCTGTGAACCATGAGCTGAAACTCGCTGAAGAATGACGCCGAGCAGTGCCGGCACTTGTAGGCGGAATTGCTGGCATGGGTGGACAGGTGCTCCAGGAAGCCCTCTCTCTGGTCAAACTTGAGGCCGCACTGTTCGCAGAGGAACGGGAACGGGCGCTCGGCTTCCCTAATGTGGGCGGTCTTGATGTGCCGGAGGAGGTGGCCCTGGTGCCTGAACCTCCTCGGGCAATGGGGACACCGGAAGATGCCGAAATCACGGTCCAGGAGGGGATAGCCTGCAAGACGTTTCACGAGACAAGTTCAGCATTAGCAAACGGTGGGCACACTGCGATGGCAATACAAGGAACACTAGTTTCTTTGGGCCTCAGAAAGTGCCAGAACTGGGAATGCATGCTAGTTTCCTCTTGTTAACTGACTATGATCACTGACAGGATGAGTACGGCGGGAGGTATTTTACTTGTCCCACCTCCAGAGCAAGCTTCCTACCTTTGGCAATGCTTCGGCATCTCGCAATCTTTGATCGTGCATGTACAGCCAAAACACGCCAAAAGGCAACGAGCGTGGGCTGGAAGCGGGACACGCGAAAGAGACGATTTGCCGTCCTCGTCGTTTCCGTGACTATAGTGCCGTTTTTGTAATAGTAGAGGAAATACTGTGCTTTAAAAAGCCTCCTACAAATATTTTATTGAAAGAGAGGTTATTATGCAGATAATTAAATACTTTCTGGAAGCCAGGAACTGATATTTGTTACGCTTGGTCAATTTATTCATTCTATTTTTTAGGGGGGGGGGGGTGCAACTGTTAACAGCTAATGACAACTAGAACAGATTACTTATTAATCACTGTCATAAAAGTGTAGGATAACTATTGATTGAAAAGGTTTACTCTGACTTAACGTAACAAATTAATAACAAAAAGGTATAGACGTTTTGCCACCTATGCAGGTGGCATATTCAGTATAGTGCCACCTACATAGGTGGCGAAACACTTGTACCTTTTTGTTACTAATTTGTTATGTTAAGTCGGAATAAACCTTTTCAATCATGAATTCACCTGGCTTTTGGAACATTTTTGTAGGATAACTAATTTGGACAGCAGTAACTAGAAAATTGAACAGAAATATAAAAAGAGTTCTGAAAATGATTCATAAGAAAGCTTATGAGGAAAGGTAAAGGTCTGTGACATTGCCAAGGAATATGACACTGCACCTCTAAGGCTCCTAAGATCTAAAAGCAGCAGGCAAAAAATGAAGGCTCTGTGGAAAAACATTGCACACAAACAATGAATGCGACTTTGATCCATGTGATTGTATTTTCCGTATGCCAACACTTAGCCGATCCATAGCCATTATTACACTACCGGGTTAGGAGCAAATGAAGTATGCATGCATCCAATCTGAGCTTTTTACATACTTTGTACTTAAAAACATTTTGGGCAAAACTACAACAAATGATGACATATTCTTTAGCAATTTTGCAAAACATGTAAAAAGCCTAGAAACAAGACAGTCAGAAAAGTATTGTTAAACAATGATAAAGGTTAGCAATAAGCAGTATATATCCAGAGAACAGAGCAGTGTTCAGTACACACTCACAACATGAAGCAGATATAAAAACTTCCTGCACAGTCAGCAAAAATAGCACAAGCACTCAGACCAAGGATCATAAATTATGTATAAATTTTAGAAGAAAGAGAGACAGAGCAAATTTTACATCTGCAAGCAAAAATCAGTCATTGCAAGTTGTATGTGCAAATGTTGCAGCTGAGATCTTGGTGCATATCACAAAAGGAGTGCCTCTAGCATTTTTGCCCTTTTCTTGCTCGAAGTGAGTCCTGCAATGAAAATAAGCAATGTTACAACATGCCATTAGGAAAACCAACTACCGGTCAAAACATAAAAAGCTACTTACAAAAAAAAAAGAAGATATAATTAAAAAGAAAATATAGCAATGAATTACATGCATTCTAGAACCTGACACAAAGAGGGATTCCAAATTGCATGCCGTCATTCCCCGAGCATTCAAGTACCCTGCTTTCTTACACATGAATTCAAAGGTGCTTAAAGGCACTTAAACTCTTTGATGCAATTCTACAAAGAAATACAGTAAAACCTCGTTATAATAAAGTTGAAGGGGCAGTCGTAATTATTTCGTTATAACCATTAGTTTGTTATAGCCAATGTCCATTTCTTCCCACTATTAGCAAGCAAGCGGAATTATGATTGCTTTGTTATATCCATTAGTTTGTTATATCCCATTTTGTTATAACGAGGTTTTACTGTAGTTCTACAATCTTGGCAGCATTGGTTGACAGCACCAGAAACTGACCCAATGCTCAACATTCAAAAACAGTGCTATCATGGTCAGATGCACCATGAATTTTTAAAATATGCTAGTGACCAGTTATCATTTGTACCCAATGATATCCTTTTTCCCACATGACATGCTGACATCTCCCCACAAAACATACTATGTTGGTGCCATGACTAAGAAGCAATGCATCTGCTTAAATGAAGCGAAAAATAGGGACTCTAACCAAAAATTTAATAAACGGGTCACTCGCCCGTGAACAAGGGACCGAAGTGGTCCCGAAACGTTGGGTAAATGTGTATTAAATTCTTGGTTCGAGTCCCTATTTTTCGCTTTATGTCTATTCCTAATCAGGCAGAGGGCTGCCGAACGTTTACCTTCAACTGCTTAAATAACAACCAAAACAGCAGTTTTTTTTTGGCATGCCATACAATTTGAATTGTTCACATTGATACATTTAATGAGCTTTCAGAAGTAACAGGTTTATGGTTGCGTCACCCACTTTTTTTTTTTGTTCGTAACCACAAGTAAGTCAGGCTGAAGAAACATAGCACATGCTCATAATTCTATCAGTTATGCTTTATCAGTGTGTATATTGGTATATTCTATCATTAATATTGCATTGTAACTGTTTTTTTTGGCTACGAGTAAGCTCGATGCAGCTTACTCGTAGCCGGAAACACGGTTACAATGCAATATAATGATATAATATACCGATATACACACTGATAAAGCATCACTGGAAGAATTATGAGCATGTGCTATGCTTCTTCAGCCAATGTCATAGTAATGAGCATGTGCTATGCTTCTTCAGCTAATGTCCAGTGATGCATATTATAATATGCACATTCATAAAGCATAACTGAAAGAAACATCATGCATCGATGCATGACGTTTCTTTCTGTTATGCTTTATCAATGAGCATATTATAATATTATATCATTAATATTACACTGGCAGTGTCTCTCTGGCGAGATGCTTTACTACTGTAAAATACCAAAGGGGCGCCCTCCCAACTTTCACTGAAAACTGGGACAATTTAGACATGGGCGCTTGTCTGGTCGAATCAAGCGCTTCACGTACGATTTGCAGAATTCCCAAGTTTGGGAAATGTTAATAGTGGGTGCTTGAACAAAACGGGCGCTTCCACGGCATTTTACGGATGTTTACTGTTTACTGAGTTTTGCAATAGGGAGTGGTGCATCGTGTAAAAAAGAATACTGTCTTCCAAGGAAGGAACATGAAACTGCAGCTGGTGGGGAGGAGACCACATGATCATATACTCCCACATAAGATGCCATTGTCATGTCCCTCCAAATGTTTCACATGTGGACAATTATTTGCAAAAAAAAAATGGTAGCTAAAAAACAAGAATTGTGCGAAAAAAAAAGAAGAAAGATACATAAACGAAACAATGTTACACGCTCTATCCTTTACGAATGTGAAGACGTCCATACAAAACTAAGAAAAATTTTTACAGTAACTTCCAAAATTTCACGCATGCTTGAAAAGCTGGCTTTTAGAACAATTTGAAGTTGTAGCTGAAGTCCATGATCTGGCACAAATTGCTTAGTGGACCATGTGTCAGTCTGCCTTGTTGGGACATTATTTACACAAATATTTTCTTGTGATTTTTCATTCTTCCAAATTGCAATAGTCAGGTCAGCATGACAGATAAATGTTCCAGAGCGTCGTGTGGGATCTGAATCAATGTTGCGCCAGTGACCGCCAGTTAATCTTGGAATGAAAAGCGATCAGAAGGGAGCAAAAAAATCCTTGAATTCACCAAGTGGATGTGATACTGCGTAACATGCGGAAAAGTAACATGCTGCTTCGTTGTGCCTGTAACAGGAAATGGTGGTAACAAAAGCAAATTGATGCATCACAGATTCTTTCGTGGAAAAAAAAAAAAAAAAAGAAAATGCTTGTGAGAGATAAAAGCAACGTAACACAAGTACTGCGCTCTTTCAAAATGAATTCTTCATGAAAAGATTGTATGATATGGAGTATGTGCTCTATGGAATACTATATACTTATGAAAATTTTAACACGGTTTAAAGGGCATCTGATGTGGCAAAACTTGCGTCTATCTTTTTTTTTTTTTTATGCGAAACGTTAAGGTATGGTGACAAGACTTAATTCAATACGTTTCTGGCTAGAGAGACAAGCATTTACTGAGGAAAACAGTCAAACTGAAACCAGCAGAACAGCACTAAAAAACATAAATATGCAGTGAATTTTTTAAATTTTTTTTTAATTGATGTTATGTTTTTTTTTTTGTTTTAGTGGTTACAAAAATTAACTCTTTATATGGCTTCCATTATTCTTCTTAAATTCCAGCAATTTTTTATGGTCTCTGATTTGCCTCAAAATTTGCTGAACATACCTATAGATGTGGCTGCACTGGTCCCCAAGTATTCTGTGAAAAGAAAAGACTGTCGCAAAATTATTGAATTTCGTCTTTATCGTGTTTTTTAAACCGAGAGCTCCTACTAGCAACACTGAAGTGTGAGGACACAAATGGTACAAAGTGGGCAGTAAACCAAGTTCCTAACTGATCACAAGACGTTTGATGGTAGGAAAAGAATGCTTGAAAGCTCATTTACCGAGAAAAGCACGAAAAAATGCTCGACACTCGACATACTTGGTTTAAGACTACCTGTGCGACCATTTGTGACGTTACACCACTGGAGAGCACCCGGAAATTTGAATTATGATTTCAACATCACCTTCATTTAGAGTTTTCTCAATGGCTATATTGAATTTCGAGACAATAAATAGCATACCGTCAAGACCAAAGTCTGGGTATTCAGAAAACGCAATTCGGGTAGCTCAAGAAACGGCCGGAGTACCCCTTCAATGAGGATGTACCTAGATTGCTTATTATTTCTCAAACTGTATAAGTTCTACATCGTTACCGCATGCAACCAAAAAATAAAAAAAAACGAAGCAAGGCAGCAAGTTTTGAGCAGACAATTCTCGATCGGCAAGATTTGTGAGAAAAAACTCGAGTTTGATATGCCATTAGCTTTTTCTTGACAGTTGGGCTGTTGAAAGTTGCTTTTGCGAAAACCTAGGCATGTGTAGATACTTTCTGAGATCCCCTTCAAGTTTTCGTTCCCATCCCCATAACAGGAAAACAAAAAACACTTCCATGAATGTGAGCTCAGTCAGCTGACAGCTATACAGATATGCAACATGGGGCATTAATGGGTTAAACTTATGATCCGGGTTGCGCATAGATTATTCACATCGTAAAACTTTTGTAAATATTTCATGGATATACCATGGACACACTCAAAGGAAACAAAACATCATATTCTGAATCGCACCGCTCATGCACACGTACATGCATTGCGTCATGGAATAAAGACATCTGCAGCTTTTTCTGTGCCTTTGTGTAAGTTCGGAGAAGAATGGCCTAGCTTGCGCATCACTGTCTCCACACTTGAATGGTATTCTTTAGTTCTTTTTCATTTTTTTTTTTGTCTGAAGGCAGTTTTTATCTCAAGCAAGACTCGGGACTGTTGAACGGCAACCACGGTCAATATTTCTGAATTTGAGATTACGACCGCTTTCAGCTCAGTCAGGGTCTCTGAATTACAAGGTATATTCCCCCCCCCCCCCCCCCCCCCCCCCCCGATATTGTGTGCAGTTTTATGAATATCATGGCTCAAAGTTTGGTTTCGGGCATCTACGGAAAAACTGAAACTATCTGCTACAGAGGGATGGCAACACTGAAATCAGCTGTACGGCCACGAAGTGACGTCACGGTGGTGCTGCGGTACGCGTCGTCCGTTGTAACTTTACTAAAAGATAGCCCAGCTGCCACCTGCTAAAGACCAGCTAGTCGCATCTTTAAAGTCGGCTTCACTTTGACGTAATATTTCGGCTGTGATCATATTTCGAGCCACTAAAGTGAAACCAGTCAATTATTTTGGTTTTGTTTTCGAATGGGCTTGCCCTTTAAATACAAGTTCTTAAAGTAAAGTTTCTTTTTTTTTTTAATTTTCCTAATACCTAATTACAAAATTTAAGTCAAGTCATACCAAAGGCTTCTTTGTTGTGTTCCTTTCTTATTTGGAATGTTCGGACTGGCAATTATCAAATAGTGGCACTTACAAGATTCCCAAGTGCAAAAGATGTGGTTTCATATCTCATTATGTATAGCTAACCTTTCAGCATTTGCCATTAACAGAACAAAAACTAAACGCAACATTTAACAATTTAACAAGTGGGCTCATATTTGCGATCGTTAAATTCCGCGAATTCTAAAGGCTGGAATTCGCCTCTACAGAAAACAGATATTCGCACCCACTAAAGTTCGCGAATTTTACGTTTCGCGAAATTGGCGAAAATCGGGAGCTGGTGATTATAGGGGTTTTACAGTACATGCTTTGCACCTGACGTCATTCCGTCAGTTCTCCGGCCACCACCAGAAAAGAGGGGAAGAGGGAACTCCCCTCTCACCGGGACTCTCTTTTGTGCGTCCCAGATGTGCCCATACGTCGCTATTCACCCTCTAGATTATAGAAGATTAACCCGCCACTCAAAATTCTTACAAAAGCAGCTTCTCACCTTCTCTCTGCTGTGGTGATGCGAAATAAATGATGTGACGTCAATGCAAGTATTTTAAGGCTACCGCAGTAATTGAGTAAAAGCGGCTCCGATTTACATACAACAGCTGCTTTATTTTTGCGACATAACCAAATCACGGATAGACTACCATATTGAAACCAATCGCAGGTAGCCTATCCGAAAACCAGTCAAATAAATACAAGTCACGCGTCATCACTAAGTCCGTCAGTAGGCTTTAGAATTACCGCGAAATACCTTCATATTTTAATTTAAAATTTGCTATTCGGCGGTACAAGAAGTACAAGAGCTTACACGATGAGAAATTTGTCACCAGCACAAGCTACAAACACAGTTTTTCATTTTTTTTAGCTATCCTTTCATTAGATTTGAAATTAATGTTATTCAAGGAAGCTCCGCGTCTCTCATTGCGATTCCTTGTTTGGAATACTCTCCGAAATTTCTAGAACGTGTATCTATAGAATTCGTGGTTATGAAAGGAGTTACTTACCTGAAAGCCGTGCTCTGTCAAGACAGCCCAGACGAAGAGACACTAGGCTATAAACATCACTTGTTTTCCGAATTACAGGAGTGTAACAACGTAAGAAGACCGGTAAGAAAAAAAAAATGAGGTATCGTCTTGAGCAGTGCTCGAAACAAGAACTGCGATCATAGGATTCGAACTGCGCCTTAAAAGTAACACAATCTGGTCAAAATGTTGAATCGAAATCAAATAATTTAGGTTCAGCAGCCATAGCTTCATGTCGATGCTTACGCGGCGTGTGCTGCCCCGTAATGTTTGCCTGCGCGTCTGCACTCATTCTGAGCAGAGTGAAGAAAACAAAAAAAAAAGTACGACGTTGCAGCTGGAATCTGCAGTGCACACTACACAGAGAAAACAATAAAAAAGCTATGACGCTTATGAATATAAAACAATGTTACTTTCTCAGGTTTACGTCATACCTCATAGCAACGTCATAGCAACATTGGTAGAAGGACGCAACGCCCGCAACGCCTTTCTTTCCGTTGCTATGCACCTGCGCACACGTCTCACAAACTAACCGCAAAATTAGGCAAAACAAAATAAAGAAACCGTTATTTCTGGATCTTTTGAACAACTGAGACAACCGCCCAAGCAATAAATAACACCACGTGTATGAAGTTCTTTGAATAGGGCGGTTATTCGCGCTACCTGATGTCTTTCTCTATAAACATATTTATAAACTTTCTAACACTAGTAATTAAATAGTCACCGTAAGTTTATGTGATACTCTTTTTTTGTTGTTTTGTTTAGTAAGTCACTTCTGATTAAAACTCGAGAAATGAAATCCCACTCAACTGAAGATACGTATTTCCGTTAGATTTGCCCCAGGCCGGCCGCCGGCCTTCCCAGCATTCGCTTCTCTGCTCTACTTCCGGCGGGACGGAGTGTGGAGGTCGACATTTTCCCCACCTTTCATCGCTCCCAAAATGCTGTCCGCACTCCAAAAAATGGGAGCCTTCGCTCCGGCCTACGTGCAATCACGCAACATGGCCACGCTGAAAGACATCCGTGTCCGCCTGAAGTCCGTCAAGAACATCCAGAAGATCACCCAGAGTATGAAGATGGTGTCGGCGGCCAAGTATGCCCGTGCCGAGCGTGACCTCAAGCAGGCGCGACCTTACGGGGAAGGCACCCAAGCCTTCTACGATGTCGCCGAAATCAAGCCACCCGAGGGCAAGAACAAAACCCTCATCATCGCCATCTCGTCGGACCGTGGCCTCTGCGGAGCCATCCATTCGAGCATCGCCAAGCGCGTTCGTACCATGATGACCGACAACCCCGAGCTCCTCCAAGACTGCCGCATCATCTGCGTCGGCGACAAGGTACGCGGCATCCTACAGCGACTGTACAGCGACAACATCCTGATCAGCTTTTCGGACTACGGCAAGAAGCCGCCCATCTTCGACGACGCCGTCCAGGTAGCGAACGCCATCCTGGCTAGCGACTACGAGTTCGACAAGGGCATCCTACTCTACAACCGCTTCAAGTCGGTCGTGTCGTACGCCACGTCCGAGCAGCCCGTCTTCAGCCTGGAGACGGTGAGCGGGAGCGACAAGCTGACCGTGTATGACAGCATCGACGCCGACGTGCTCCGCAGCTACCAGGAGTACTCGCTGGCGAGCCTGATCTACTACGCCATGAAGGAGAACGCGTGCAGCGAGCAGAGCTCCCGCATGACGGCCATGGACAGCGCCACCAAGAACGCAGGGGAGATGATTGACAAGCTGACCCTGACCTTCAACAGGACCAGGCAGGCGGTCATCACCAAGGAGCTGATTGAGATCATCTCCGGTGCGGCCGCATTGTAGGAGCAAAGCCAAGTCACTGCCAGCCTTTGGACGTCTTGGAACTCCCTCGACTACTGGAAAGAGTGGCACAGATGCAGCGAAGAGTTTGGGACTGGGGAAATTGGGAAACCGAATAGATTTTTTCGAGACCACGTCCACCTGCCATTTTGTCTGTTTTCGTTTGCGAGGGCGTTCCTTCCTGTATTTCGAGCGATAGGCAATACAAAATGGAAAAGAATCCAAGTCTGCTGCTTTCCTTACGATTGACAAAGCTTGGTTGGATACTTTTTCTCTCTTTGGCCCAGTGAAACATACACATAATGTTACAGCCTCTTCGTAGAAACTGTATCTGAACAGAATGCGTGGCTTGCACCACTTCAATGGTGTAAAACTACCGTGGTATGAAGGCAACGCTCGCGGAAGTTGGATCATTAGCATAATAGCCGACCAAATTGCTGTCTCGGTGGCTGCAAGGCAAAGCGCCGGCCTATGGAACTACCGTCGACGGTTCAAACCCTGGCCGAGGTGCCTCAGTTGCTCGTTAAAAGATTTCCAGGTGGTTGAAATTAATCCTTTGTCCTCCACTGGGGCATGCAAGATACCTTTCATTGGTTTGGCACATAAAGCCTCCAAAAAATTCAACTTTAATGGCAGGCCAAATCATGTCGGTGCAACCTATCCATTGCTCGTACTAGTGCTGGCAAACGTGCAAGCCTCTGCAGATTGCTTTCGAATTTGGCAAATACTAGCACAACTTTGCATGTATACAAAGCTAATTATCATGCTTACTTGAATTTAACATACTCCAGTTGTTGTGAACCAAGTTACTACGTAAAATTCCTTGAGGTGTGCAGAGAGCCAGTTGCAGTTAATGGAAGGAGACTGAAATGTTTAGAGTGGACAATGTGACCGGCGCCATAATTCAGAACATGTTGCTGTCATGCTACAATCCCACTCGCTGGTATCCGTAAATTGCGATTGGCTTTCTGCATTCTGGTCCGGAAAGTAGGTGCACAGACTGTTTTTACTTACAGGCAACTTTCTATAGCTATGCAATCAAAGCTATGGAAGAATGCGCACCTTGAACACCCATCAAAGCTGTGCACATGTACTCTTAAGTGCCACAGAGGGCTGTTCACAAGCATAGTAAATATTCGCTGTAATTCTTTCCTTCCATTGATATGTTTTTCATCCAACATACAAGCTCATTACATCAGATAATGGTAGTAACCAGTGGAGTGCAGGGGGCAGGCGTTCAGAGATAGTTGTAAATTTGTGACAATGGTTCATGGATCAGGAGACAAAAGATATGGTTCAAACTGAGACTGTCACATCCTTTCTCGTCTGTCCTCATTCATGGACTCCATCTCAAGTTTACGAAGTATGTCGGTTACCAACCCCCATTTCCTTGTCCCTGGAAAAAGACTGGAGAGTTGCAGAAGACTGCAGTGAAATCTCTCGCACTGCCAAGAGCAAATTAGACGCAAAATGTTTGGACAGCGTGAGGCCGGTCTGCATGAGCACACCTACACTGTTTCACACCAGATGAGAAATTTTGGTGGTGCAGTTGCGACTCCTAGTTTGGGGTATTTAATGCGCATCTCGCAGTAGTGAGACATAAGCTCTGAAGACTGCTTGATTAACACTTTTGCACCATTTGGAAAGTGGAGATGGCGAACTAGCAGCCCTGCATACTGTCTGCTATGCTGAGAACCAGTGAACTCACCAATCAGTCCCAACCACTCTTTACTCACAATTCCAGATGAGGGTCCATCACCTAGCAGCAAACATGTGAATTGAAAGAAGGGGATACTTGGACAGTGAAATTCACTTATAACGATACCAGATATAATGGTTTCTAGACTAGGAACGCACAGTTTCTAGTCTAGATACAACGATAATCAGTTATAACGATTGAAGTTTCGAGTTTTCTCATTATTGCTACGAGTGGATTGCACTCTACAGCAAAGTTTTTTATTTGGACATACTGACATACTGCCAGCCATTTGTTGGCAGCCAAGGCAGGGGTGGTCATAGACACACACACAAAAAAAAGCATGATAACCTAGCACACAGCAAGCATACATGACAAATCATCAGCGATCAAAAAGAAAAAGTGCTTGATCATGGTAGAAAAGAAAGTGGCATCGATTCACTTGACACTATACACTGTTCCAAGTTGGGCTTCCTGGGCGGCGCCATTTTAACGAGTGTACCGCCGCCTACCCTCATCCGGGCATTTGGGAGAATCTGAACCCCTCCGAATGACTGACCGCCATTACTGAACTGTTGCCCTGCTCACCAGGTCACACCAATCGCAGCTGCTTCTGCCGGTACGGCTGCCGTATTCGGCGCCCTCGGCTTATCGTCTTGGTACATGGAGGAAAGCACTATCTTAATCGGTGTGTCAGGCGTGGGGAAAAGTGCATCCTGCTTTCCTGGCATCTTTTTGTGGGTAATTTTTAGCGCGGTTCTGGGGCAGTCGTCGCTCCTAAACCGAACTCGGCGTTTCGATCGCTAGCGAAATCAGGGATTGCTAGTGAAAATGAGGATCACTAGTGAAATTGAGGATTGAACGAAGCAAGGATGGCACGAATTACGGTGTGTGAATTTGCGCTGAACTCGAGTCGTTGCCGCTTGAGGGCGCCGGGAACGTTTGAACTAAGACAGCTTGCTGCCGAAAGATGTCGATGCTGCGTGGACATCGCGGCTGTTGCTTTTGCTTTCCATTTTCTGCAAGTAAATGAAGTGTTTGGCCATTTGCACTAATGTATTCATGGCGAATTGACAATTTCGGAAACCCCTAAAAACTATTGAATCACGCATACTCGATACTTCAATTTCAGCGGCGCATTTTCGGTGCGCACCAGGCGTCGCCTGCCAATTGCCACGTGAAGAAAAATAGTTATTAAATCAGTGGACCAGGACTCACGCAACTATTTTTTTTTTCAATGTCTAAGCCGCCCTCCGCTTACCTTTCGGTCTGCACCCACATTCATCCTGTTTGACAGCGTGGGTCTCGCACATTGAATTGGCGTTCGACTTTTTTTTTTGGTTATTTGTGCGACCAATTACAGCACAGTGCTGCCCGTTCGATTCTTTTCTTGCATAGGCCATGCCACGCGCGAAAACACGCTATAATATCAAAGCGGAGCCTAACATTGTTGAAACAACTTGCCTCCGTACATTGCACACATGCTTTCTCCACCCTCTGGTAACAGTTCACTCCGTGAAGCAGACGAGCTTTCGAGGGAAAGGGTAAGCGGAGCATTGGTGCAGCGCTCTGGTTCGAGAGTGTTTTTCACTTTCTGCATCGACTTACTTGGAACGGTGTATAAACTCTCAAGTAAACAATACACACAGAAAAAAAAAGGAGAAACAAATAACTTGCAACAATAACCTAATATACCATCTGCAGTCACCGCGAAAAAAGTTGTTCTATCATTGCTGCAAATGATGACGTTGTGGCTACATTTGTAACACTTTCAAGCAAACTATTCCAGTCGCTGAATGTTCGCGTGAAAAAGCTATTTTTTAGACAGTCAGTCCTACAGAAAGGGACCACAATAGTTTTCGGGCGTTTGTTGCACGTGTGCCTGCTTGAGTTGTACTCCATGTACTTTTCGAATGACATTGCAACCTAGCAGCAAAAGCGGACAGATGCCTCGCTATCAAACAGCATTTGACTCTCAAACGTCACATGTACCCCACAATCAAATATGCAGGATTGCAAAATTTGGGGCGTTGAAAATACGCTTCTTCATAAAGAGCCTATTCGGTAAAGGGCTCCCCGTTTCATGTGCATGAATGCGTATCAGGTGTTTGCAAAAACACATTTTGGCCATCAGACCAACTATTACTGCAACTTGAACAAATACTGGCATTTTCACACTTAGTCCATCCTTCTCGTGTCAAATTTGCTTTAGAAACATTGAGACGGCACTAAGTTTAACTGCCTCGAAATGCGGTAACTGGTGCCTCCGCCGTAGGGGGCAATCTAGCCAGTGCAGAACATTCAGCACAAGGCCAAGATTACACCAACATGTGCTGGTACAATGCCCACCCATGTCGCAGTCAGTAGGAGCGGGATTTCAGTCTGCGACGTCCGAGTTTGCAGCCCAAGCTTTTAGTCTGCATGTTCCGCGCTAAGGCCACACCACCTCGTAGAATAGTCAAAGCCCAAGAGCAATTTCCTTTACCCCCACGCGACGCCATCGCACTTGGATGGTGCGAACTTGGCGATTGAGCCCGACGCCGGGCGTCCTTTGAAGCGTCGACTGGATAAGAAGCCCAGCCGAACGCCGACGCAGCGCTCGTGTCCAACCTGTGTCTGCGCACAATCTTGCAGCGACGTCGTCGAAATGCCATAATGCACGAGCTTCGAGTATCCTATACTTTGTTTCACCACAAGTCTGAGAACAACCAACGATCAAAAGGGTACAAGCACAGATGCAGATTAAAAGCGCAGGATTACGGAACATGTACTGCGCTCGACTGGCTTAGCCGGTCATTGCACATGTGCAGGAAGGCGACGCACACTGCGACGTTGAGTTTTTGGCACTGCTCGATTGGTCCCACAGACCGGTAATGTCGGCTGCGCTCGGACTTGGGGTGAAACAAAGTAGATGTATAGAGATTTTTCACAAGGGCGCCGCCATCTTGAAAAATTGTCACTTCCAGTATGGGCGAAAACATTAGCTGCATTTGATTTATGTGCACCTCCTGCACCGGTGCAGAAAAGTGTAGGGCAGTCTACTTCCGGTAGGAATACAAGAGAGATACGATGAGAAGTTCACCGCCCTGCACTTTTCTGAACCGGTGCAGGGGGTGAAAGTAGATTGAACGTTGCTATTGTTTTGCCGTCGCCATGCCAACAGACTACATTTCGGATATAAGCGTAACTGTCACTCACTTTTGTTTTGCCTCCCCTCTATTCTTTTGCTATTTGCAGGTTGAAATGTTTTATTGCTTTCTTTGCCACCCACACCCGATGTGCGCACCAGGTGGCTGGGGAAAACAGTAAATGAGAAAGGTCTATAGACGATGTGTGCTGGAGCCCGTTGGCACGAAAGGCTACCAAATCCCCTCTCCCCTGTAAGGATAAATTAAACTTCCAGTGAATCAAGCAGTGCAACACGTTCAAGATGACAAGGCACAGTGGGCACAGGGCAAATGGGCACAGTGCAAAAAACTGCTTAGGATACTGAAAACAAGTCTTCTGGAGGCACCAGAGTGGCA